TCTAGGAAAGGCAACTTTAGGATCGATCTGGTAAATATTAAAAAAGGGAAAAGAGAGAGGATTAGATATCAATAATCATCAAAGTTGTCAATCACTTAAACACAACTAATGACAGCGATTTGGATGTGTGGGTCTAAAGCATTCCTCATGGATCACAAGACTATCCCACATACCGGCATGCACGACTCAGACAATATTAGGATTATCGTCACAACTGAAAGTACAGAGACACTACACAAGGGGTATTCAAATCAGGCCTTGAGGTCCCCAAGTCCCCTTCAGGACTGCTGGTTTCCATCCTTCCCCTCTGATCAAGGACTGATTCAGACCTGGGACACCAGGTGAGTTGACTCCTTTAGCCAATCAATGACATTAAATCAACCAATTAACTACCAGGGAGAGAAGAGAACCAGCTGTACTGGGGAACCTTAGGGCTCAAGCCTCCTACACTAGTACACTATTTTTCACATCTTCCCCACACAGATTAATCAACAGTCATACTAAAGCTGGCTGACTTAATCAAAAGCACAATTTAAATTTCCCTTTGCCTCATCAAAAAGTCCAGGTCCGTCATTCACACAATCCTGCATTACTCCATTGAAGCATAGCTGACTAATAACTCAATAGCCCTTCACACATCATGGTTTAGTCAACGTATATTGACCAAGAACATACATAACTAGCATTAATGCCCAGGTTGCTATTTAAGCACGCTGTGAAAAATGTATGAGCAAAAAAGCACCATACAATTACACATTTTTATTAATGGCATATACATATAGACCACATATAATGCTATAATTGTGCAATAATTAAGTCTAAATCAAAAGTCCATTCAAAATGTATTGAATGAGAGCGTTTTATTTAATGCTATTCAAAGCCACTTAATGTTTCCCTCCTGGAAAACATTTTAACCTTTTAATTTCAAATCCAATTACACTGTCCTGAGTCATCGACTCTTTTAGCTCATATTATGGATTTCAAATACATGGGTCATACAAGGCTGCTTTGCTGCATGCTTTTATGGAGAACAGCTAGTTATTATTTCCTGATTCCATCCAAGGGTTTATTATGGCAGCCAATGTGAATTGGCACATTTGGGTTTGGATTGAATAAAATGAGGCCTGAAAACAAAAGAAGGCATTGTATTATTCATTGTTGCATCAGTTTACTGCAAAACAGTAATTTATGTTTTCACTATTTATTACAGGATTTTCTCTGTGTTGGGAACTGCGGATTTGTACCTCGTCAAAAATACAAAATGTAGCTCGAACTAAATGTGTGAGATATCAAGTCAGGTGTTAGAACCAACCACAGGACTTCCTCAAGAACAACTTGTGCAAATCAACTCAGAAACATTAATTTGGACATTAATTTTCCCCTCTGACACACACTTCTAAAAGTGAAATCATGCACAAGAACACATCCTGTTAAATGGGACAGTCAGTGCATTAAAAACAGCCAGGACATTCAAGACACATTTGCCATTTGTCACAGTAAGGTTGAATACATCCCCAACATTCACTCTTCCTGTGAACAAAGAATTTCTCCTTTCACATTTTCATCTTTAAGGCCACATAGCTAAACGGGGAAAAGACCATTAGTGGAATATTGTGCATAAAGTAAGTTGAGAGCTTGTCAATTGGTTAAAAAAATCAAAAAATAACAGAGGGGAAATGTAACAGAGAGCTGTCAGCGTGTGACGGACAAAAATAGACAGGAAGTGACTGTCTGAATTCAGCAGACAATGCATTAGCGGAGTGGGAAGTGTTTTAGCCAGAAAAGTGTTTAAATCTACAAGAGATTGTTTTCACAAATGACATCAGCAGAAATCCTATTGTCAACAGACACTGAGTATTATTCAACCCCAAGCCTTCATTTCCATGTTGTCAAGGATTACATAAAACATGAAACATGTCAAGTATATGCAGTACATGCCTCAGCCTTGGCGTATGCAATCGAGGGAAATACATGTGCCACAATGTAAAACAACAGGTATCTCCAATTGAAATAATGCTAACACTGCATGTATACCTGTGAAGTAACTCTGTACTAAAACTAGTAAACAAGTTACCATATTGCACAATTAATTAGGGTTTAAGGGCATTTTGCAATCACAGGCTATTCTAATAGGGAATCATGTACACTGAATGTCAGAAGGAATACTGACTGTATCCTGATGAAAGGACAGCACACACACACAGCAGCATTGAATTCCCCATGCAGACAAACCAAACCATGTCTGTTGCTGTCTGGACTTGAATTTCCCAGCCCAGCCTCACCTTGCAGTGTTAAAGGCCCAGTGTGGTTTATATACACTTCCACACTATGAGGTTGGAATAATACTGGGAAAATGATAATGCCGATGCCCTTTTAGCGTAAGAGCTGTTTGAAAAGATCGCCTGGAATTTTAGCCTGCTTTGGTCGAAAGGAGTTTTGGCATCAGCAGGCAGTAAATTAGTTAATAGACCAATAAGAAAGAGCGTTCCAAACCTCTCTGCCAATAACAGGAAATGTTCAGTTTTCCCCTCCCAAATTAGACCACTCCCAGACATTCCTAGCAAAATTATTGCTTGAGAGATTGCGCTTTGCTAAAAAGCTGTTTCTTGACCATTTTTTTATTTATTAAAAATAATCACAGTAAGGTACTTAATTGTTACCCAGAAACAATTTGATATTGAGATAGAAATGGCTGCATTGGACCTTTAAGGTGAGATGTGACTCCCCTCCATATCACACTGCACTTCAGCACTTTAATGTAGAACACCTCCCAAGGCACAGAGAGGTGAGTCAGCAGCTCAATGTTACCTCTATTACATTCAACTCTAAAGACTGAACTCTGGGTCCTTTAATGCATGGATAATGTCATTAGCTGTTTTCTAATAAGCCTACGTAGACGCAGGTCCAGGAAGGAGAGGGGAGAGATGGCATCAAAGCACACTTTTAGGTACACATCGAGAGTTAGGGAGAGTGTGTGTGTCTGCTTCCTTTGCTGGGCTGAAACTGCATGTCCTCTCAAGTACCGATTTCCCTTTTCAGCAAGACTAACATTTGCCCCTTATCAATAGGTTCTAGAGGTGTACTAATACATCTCAACATTACATTCAAATCTGCAGTCATAATAACCCCTGTACTATTAACAATTAATTAGGCTACAAAACACATTGAACATACATTAACAAAGAGCATTTTAAATAGTGTAATTTTTCAGAAGTGATGTGTGTGAAGTTACAGGCAGATTATAATTTGCCATTTCCTTTCACATCTTCAGCTATCTGTTTCATAAGCCTAGACCTTCTGGCAATGTCAGAGCAGTTAGTATGAGTCCTTGGGGACAATATAGGCTGTCTGTATTCATTCCACCGCTCCTGAAGAACGAGCCCTTTGAGCACTCGCTCACACAGCCGAGTTAGAGCATACACTGCAACAACCACATACAGAACATGAGTACGTGGTGACTATACTGACCTTTCAATTAATCATTATTTTGGTCCCACATTACAATACATCTTTACATGGTAGTTACATAGGCAATTACAGTGTAGCTACACATTATTACTTAACCTACAACTGCTGTAATGTTTGTGCACAATTTCAAAGATTTTTATGAACTCACAATTGAGATAAGGGATATGAAAAGTATAGAAGCTATTTTTTTAACAAAAACACATTGAAGCTTGTTTGCAAATGTACCTGTAATGCATTTAAAAACGTCAGTGTATTCTCATTACAGCAAACAGGTCAAACACATTACAATGTACCTGCCTATGTAACTACCATGTATTTGCATGCTACATAAGAATGCCACAGGGTCATTCCAATCAAATGTATATTAGCCAACAGAGGAGCACGAGAATCATCAAAAATAAGCTAACTGACCCATATGGAAAATCAAACACTAAAACGCAAAGAGGGCAAATCACAATACCCTTTTATGCAGTCAAGGCATTACTCTGACCAACTCTCACCCTCAGAGAAACATGAGACTTAATTCAAGTGTCAGTTTTAATATATCCTATATCAGAGGAGTCTGGTGGGAGGAGCTATAGGACGGGCTCATTGTAATTGCTTGAATGGAATAAATGGAACAGAGTCGAACATGTGGTTGCCATATGTTTGATACCGTTCTATTTATTCCATTCCAGCCATGACAAAGAGTCAGTCCTCCTATAGCTCCTTCCACCAGCATCATTTGATCCATCCATACATTCAGAAAATCTATATATTGCAACAATGCCATTCTCTGGGGATAACAGTTAGTCTTGGGTTTGTTATTTAAAATGGGTCAGGTTGAGGGAATGTGTGCACTTTAGCAGACTTGAAGACAGAGAGTGAGTGGATAATATGCCGACAACTGAGATGAAGACAGGGGTAAATGGGTGGATACTGGGGCCAATGATGCAGTCAATTGGGACTTGAGGATGAAAAATGAAAGCTTAACTCAAGATGGGGTGCTTTTTAAAAACAACATTTATTTATAAATAAACTGCATTTAGTAAACAGAAAAGTCATTAATGCCTGATGGTGCTTGAATATGGTGCACGAAAAACAAAGCCAAATATGTTCAACAATGTGTATATATAGCCTACTAAAACCTATAAATGACAGCTGGGAATTAATTTTCACAGAAAACAAATACAGAATGACAATCACTTTATATAATATGCAGATTTAACAATACACATGTTTCCCATCTCAAAACACTCAGATGTTCCTTACAGAAAGCTTTGTAGTTGCCATTGGTGCTCAAATTACTTTATGTAACATGGCACTCAATACTCAGTTGGTAGAGCATGGCGCTTGCAACGCCAGGGTTGTGGGTTCGATTCCCACAGGGGGACCAGTATGAAAAATGTATACACTCACTAACTGTAAGTCGCTCTGGATAAGAGTGTCTGCTAAATGACTAAAATGTAAATGTAAAGAAAGGGTTAGCAGAAGGTCTTGTCATTTGAAGGGGGGGGGGGGGGGGGCAAGCTCAGAACGCATAATTAGCTAGGCTAAATATTGGCTTCAAGTGCATGTGGCTGTGAGAGTGACTAATTCAAATAACATAGCACAACTCTGTAAAAGATACAACTCAATACGACGTAGTTAATCATGCCTGCCAGGCAGGTGGGTCACAAAACCACAAACACTTCAAAAGTGACAGAAGAAAGGAGACATACCGTTTTTGAGTCTAATTCGTGATGTGGCTGAGCTAAGACGTTATCTACACTGGCAGCATCTACGTAAGTAACGAACCCGAAGCCCCTGTGGAGATAAACAAGAGACATTGTAAACAGTGAGTCAGTCAGTGGGGGCAGGAGAGTGGTCAAACAGTTACATTGTAACATATTTACCCACGTTGGCTATGTTGGTGTATCCATAGGCTACTTGATATAAAAATAGTTTACCTTTCATATCAGATTTAATTATTTATTAAATGTAAATACAATTTCATTTTAATGCTGCACAAGTTATCAGGTTAATGAATAGTGTCGTCTAATTATTTCCCATATTTTCAGGAATATTCAAAGATCCACTAGTATTCTATGTTTCGTGGCGGTCCATGTCAAAATGCGTTACCTTTGCAAAGCGCTGATTCAGTCGCTTGTAAAAGCGCAACGTGCGACAAAAATAAATGTCTGCTTGCTTGCTAACTGATTTTGCGTTAACATAAGGACACTGCAAAACCACGTCCGTTGACAATTAAGATAAATGCAAACAGGGGGAAATATATAAGCTAATTACCTGGAGCGTTTTGTCGTTGGATCTCTCATCACCATACATTCTCTGATTTCCCCGAATTTAGTAAAATAGTCTCTAAGGCTGTCTGCAAAAGAAAAACAAAGGGAGGTTACTGGTCGTTTTCATTCTTCTGTCAAATATAGAATACACTATGTATGAGCTATAAATGCCTCTAGCTACTGGTATGCACATAGGGGTCGAATAAAGGACTTCAAATGATTGGAAATAAAAATAACCTTGCGCGCACTGAGGTACACGCACACACCACTGCACACATCAGACGTTGCAACCAGCACCGGCAGCCTCGGCTACTACAGAACACAACCCGACAATGCCACACTGTAGTCAGCAAATTAATTTCTTACCTGGTGAAGTTTGCCAGCTGAGACCACCGATAAACATTTTACTGTAAGGGGAAAACATAGCAGAAGTGAGTCCAGATGTCAGATCGGCCATTTTGACGTGTAGCTAACTACTTGGCTAGCTCTAGCTAACTACTTGCTATAGCGACAAAAAGCGACCATAACGTATGCAGAGCAGCAGCAAGAGAGCTGTAGTTATCAAGCCCAGCGAGCTATTGCTATAGAAAAAAGGGGGCAGGCCCGTTTGCTAATATAATCAAACAAAGGTGTAGTTGACTGCACCCGGAAGGCAACATCAATGTCAGTGCTTTGATAAGCCGTGCAATATTAATACAATGTAGCTTTAACGATAAAAGTGTCAGTGCTGTTCGCAGTCTTACCCCGGGTCGTGTTGCGAATCATTAGGGCTTCCTCCAGATGTGGCTTGGCTCCCGTCTCCCTCCATAGCTAACCCAACTATAGCCAGTAACTAACGAAGACACACCGGCACAACGCTACACCGAAGCACGCTAAAGACAATATTACTGAGCCGGGAATGCAAGCGTCACACGTGGGATCAGCTCAGCCTGTGGCTCCCTCCCCCTCCCTTGACCCACATGGGGCGGGGTAAGGCTCGTCACCGAATCAATTCAATTGACGTCATTAATTATTCCCCGCCCATATATATATGTAGCTAACCATTTGTGCAGATTTGTTGTGTGTGTGTGCGTGCGTGTAACATTACTGTAATATTTTATTATTTAACAACTATTGTGTTATTGTAGCAAATCCTGTATTACTGTGTGCGTATGTATGTGTGTGTGTGTGCGCGCGTGCATTAAATAAAATAAATAAAATGCATATCCCTGCATCAAAGTTGATGATTGACTGCTATGTCTGCCCAAGCATTTGAGAGATGATTTGCTAAACCATTTTAGGATAACTTTTACTCTACTATGCCACCATAACTGTGACGTTGGTTGGTGGATAACTATAGAACATGCAAACAACATGTTCTATCCATTTACACAGACTGTAATAATACATAATAATAATGTATGTGTCCTTGCCTGGTATAGGCTATTTCCAAGATTGTCATGATACTGGAATATATTTCAGATGGCCACTCAGTCCACCAGATCAGTTCTCTGCAGCTGGATGGGCAGCTTGACAAATCTCACTTTATTTACCAGCTGCCATGCTACCACACATGTTCACTAGTAGTCTACTGCTTTATGTTGACAGAGGGGATATGTGATACAAGTGTTTTATGTAATAAATATCTAAACAAAGTTTTGATAAGTGTAATAAATATAATCGGGCTGGTTATGCACTCTACCTATCCATCTAGGTCATGTTAGCTAACATCTCAACAAGTAAAATATGGACTATTATATTGTGACATTGACCTATTACAGAAATAAAAAATGGCATGTCTAAAACAAAGATGGAGAATGTATAATCATGGAACCACTGGAACCAGGATTGTGAAAGTGGGAGCTCTATTAAGGCTGGGTGCTCACTGGATTGTAAGTCATGCTACAGTGGTTGCTGTTTATTTCCTCTCTGAGAGAGATGGAGGAAAAGAGAAAGGGGGGATGAGAGAGAAAGAAAGAAAGAAAGAGAGAAGCAGAGAGAGAGGGGGGTGTTTTTCCCCTTAAGTAGAACTTTCAAACCACATAAAGTAAAGGCTGCACACATCAAGCAAAGCCGACTTAAATCTGACTGATTGATTGGCATGTGGAGGCTTGCGGTTTCACCTCACTGGCTAGCTAGCACTTAGGAGCTGTCTTACTGTTGGCTAACTACACAGAGAGAGGCACCGCTGGGCCTTCTACCTCCCCTAGCAGTTGGTTTATTTTCACTCATAAATTCAATGTAAGAGCACAACAAAATGCCTATGCTGCTACCAAAGTCATAGTTCACCTCACTCAATCATTTAGATGACAATGTAATGTGATTTTGTATTAATTGCAGATTATTGACATTAAGGGATTAATTAATTGTTGTTGATAGATTCCAGTTGGCAAGACAGAAAAACTCAATATTTGCTGAGGAGCTTGGACATTTCATCTTTACAATCTAATGACTTCTTACTCGGTTGCGCCTGTTGGAATTTCATGTTTGCATCTGCATCTGAGGCTTCTCACAGACAGACAAGGTTGGTTTCAGTATTAAAGCTACATGCTAAATTCTAGGTTCATGGCTTCATAATCATAATGGAGCAGACAGTGCTCATTGTAAAAATTATCTTCAAATTTCACTACAAAAAAAAACATCACCTCTGCTTGCCTATTTAACTTTCATTAAGTTTATAATAACATTTTAAATTAAGCTTTGCTTGCTGTAATTCAAACTACACAATATTTTATAATTATATCATTAGCAGTAACAAGCACAATACTTAATGACTATCATACGTTATTTAGGGTGCTAGGGCATCATCCAAGTATTAAACAAGCATCATAAAATAAAGTGCTGCCCAAATACCAAATACCTATTTGATAAACCTTCACACAATTATATGGCTACCTGTGGGTAAAAAAATGATTTCCTCTCCTCAAATGATGTTCTCTCCTCACCTCCAGCTGATGTTTATGCAACATAATAACCCTCCTAAGAATACTTCCAGAACCACATGAGGGACAGAGGTGGGAAGAGGACAGGACCAGAGGACATGAGGATACGACACAATGGAGACAGAGCCCAGGCGTCCAGGCCTCAGGGTCCAGACTCCACAGCACTTTTTTAATTTTCCCCCTGTAATCATGGACTGATTCAGACTTGGCTGCCAGGGAAACCAGGTGAGTGGACTCTCTGACTGGCCAATCAGGGTTAGGGACATTGTTGTTAGATCTAATCAGGTCATTAAAAAAGAGAAAGTCCAGACAGTATAACTCTACTGTATGTTTATCACTGTATAGAAATGTCTCCAGCCATCAACAACCTGTGATTTGATATCTTTAAAAGGACCTCTCATGTTCACACATGCTCAGTTTATTATAGTATGAGTCTATGGTCACTTCCACAACATTATGCCATATATTACTTATATTTATCATAAAACACAGCGTTTATCTTGATATCAATCATCTGCGGTATAAACAACACTTTTCTTATCCTCCAAGTTTAATGTTATTAAATTAATTTAAAACTATTTGGTTTAAAGCTTACAATGTACAACCTGCCATCTAGGAACCTGATCTGGAGCTGTACACAGCTGTGGTGAGCAAATAATAGCCAGCTCCTCAATCAGTGAGTCAACAGGATCTGAAGAGCTATACACACAGATGTGTGCATTGATTACCTCAGATACAGAGAGGACAGGTTCACTGGTGGTTAGGCTTTAACACGAATGGAACAGAATGAAATAAAGCAACAGACCTGACAGACTGGAGTTAGTGGGAGCTTCCTGGAGCCCCAGGGATTTCTGACAAATTGGAGCTGCTATTAGAATGTATTGTAAAGAGGCAATTCTCCCAGATCACACCAAGTAACGGAGATAAGAGGATCCCTCAAGACTTTCTCTTCTTGGGAAGATGAGTGGAGGAGAGGAGAGGAGACTGTAGCATTATCAAAACCAAAGATAATAGGAAATGACAAACTGTGACTTCATTAACCAACTGGGGCCTTGGATGAGTCACTTAATTTCCCTACACATTTTGCAGTGGCCTCTGAATCTGTTCAAACCGACTGTAGACTACATATTCAACTGCTATCATTTAAATCACCATGTATACAGTGCGATATTAGCACCAAACACTTCTCTAAAGACAATGAGCTGGAAAGGAAAATAAACAAAGTCGCTATTCTGATTACTGTGTGGTAACCACAACGTTACTAATAAATATTATATAGTACCTGCTGATAAGTGACAAATAATAATATTTGACTGGTTCAACATATGATCATTACTTGCTAATTAGTAATTTAGTAGTTACAGGTAATGAGTAACATGTTGCCTAGTCCTAACAAGGCTACATGATACTAGGTAAGCAATACAACGTTTGAGATGACCAGGGAGTTCCTTCTATGTGGGAGATGGAGCAGCATAGCATGCTATTGTCTGTCACTCTGTTGTCCTGCCCCAGATCTATAGTATATCATACCCTTCAGAAGTCAACTCCTGATAAATGCAATGGTTTGGGATTGTCATGCTAGTGTGACAGACAGATATTCCAATGAGATTGAGAAGCCTGCTAACCAAAGAAATAAAACACTTTTAGAGATGGCATTTTCACCACAGGCATATTACTGGCCAAACTGACATGGCTGAAATATACCAGATTAGTGTGCTGCAGCGGTTTATGCTTTTTCTGCTCAATTAACACCAAGACAAACAAGACATGTTAGAACAGAATTCCCCATGTGTCTTTTCCTTCCATCCTGTTTAAATGCGAGACTGATCATTTCACGTGAGCTGATTGCATGGCAAAAATCCTGTTTTGTTTTTATGCGTCCTCATTAGATGTTGAAAGATGTCCACAAGTGGACAAAACCCCTATCTGTTTTTATTTGTTACTAATTAAAACACATTTAATTAAAAAGCTCTCCATGCACAGAGCAGTATCACATTACGTGCCTTTGTCGACTGGTCGCATTATGTTTTGGTTACAGTGTGATGTGTCAGCGTTGTCGGATGCCTATTGCTGCCAATGGCTTTAGTGCAATGACAAACACACACTGGCACATTCAGTTCAATAAAAATGCATCCTGTTTTTTTTTTTTACCAGGCACATCAAGGAAGCATTAAAACAAAAGCTGTGAGCTTTCATTCTAATGAACTTTCATCAAAAAGCTGTGGGTCTGAGCATCAAAGACACAGCTTCTCTCACCAGCTGGTAGAGAGAGAGACTCCTGCAGGAGCAGGTAGGCTATCCACACTACTTTGTAACTCTCTCCAAGACACATTAGTAGATCAAATGGTGCTGAGCACCCACTCATACTTGAACTACAAAAACACGCAAAATACATATGCTCATTATGGTTACCTGATGTTTGTTATTATCTTAATATACATTCACTCAGTTATTGTGTATCAATTATTTTTTCTGTGTCAGCCTACTATAGAATCTAGATGGACAAAGTGCCACTTGTTCCATCCTGTTGACTGAC